TCCTCCTCCTCCTCCTCCTCCGCCTCCTCCTCCTCCCCCTTCCCCTCTGCAAGACCCTGAACCCAAACCGGGGTCAACGCGAAGGATCCTGCAAGATCCTTCAAGATCCTGCACCCAAGCCCGAGTCAGTTCGCGAAGGAACCTGCAAGATCCTGCAGGATCCTGCACCCAAGCCCGGGCCAGTGCGGCCCTGGCCCTGCAGGATCCTGCAAGATCGGGCGCTCTGGTTGACCCCCGTTTGCATTGACCCCCGTCTCAAGGCTCCCGAGCCGCGCTGGCGGCCCGGGCGCCGGTCTCTATTGGGGGCGCCTCCCCAGCGGAGGCATCTCCCCAGGCACGCGCCCGCGAGGAGGCGGCAGAGCCGACGAATGCCGCGGCGGGGCGGCGGCCACAGCGCCACAAAAAGGCGGGGGAGGGCTGTGCACGGCAAGGCTCCACACGGGAGCTCCTGGGGCCCAGGGTCAGGCAGCGACGCAGAGACCCGCCTGGGAGGCAAGGGCAGGCAAACGAGGGCGGAGCGGGTCGAGGAGACCGCCGCCGTGGGCGGGGGGGGCTGTGCACGGCAAGGCTCCATAACCTGGGGCCCGACCACAAGAGATCTTCCACAAGAAGCCCAACCCTGAGACTGCAGGACATCCATGGATGCTCGGCGTGGGGACGTCGAGCTCTCCATCGCAAGACCATCGCAACCCAAGAAACTCAGGGCACCCTGGAGGCAAGCAGGGTGTTTCTTGGCACGGGCCTCCACTGTGTCGGACCTCCTGGGCCCAGGGTCCACGCCGAGGCAGCGAGACCCGCTCGGGAGGCAAGAGCAGGCAAGGGCAGGCAAACGAGGGCGGAGCAGGTCGAGGAGACCGCCGCCGCGGGGGCCGAGGATGGCGCGGCCTCGGCCCGCCATCAGCAGGGGAGACCAACTCACCATCGTGTGGTGCTCGCTCCACTGGGCACAGACTTCGCACCCACGAGGGAGGTATGGGTCAAGCTGGGCCACGGCAAGACTTGTCGCATCGACTCCACGGTATGGAGAGGGCCCTGCCCCGGAATAGACAAGACAGACGAGGCCCTCGAACAGTAGGAGAGAGCGAGAGGCCAGGCAGAAAGGCGAAGACAGCCGGGAACCCACACTGGGCGCGGCAGGACAGCAACTCAGGTTAGGGACCACCTTCACCTCGACACCTCGGTCGAGTGCCACAGAATACTTCGGCCACGTCCTGATATATCCTGGCGAGCAACCTTATACGAGCATAAAAAACTGGGAGGGACCCTGGGCGGAGCCAAATCGATAGTGAGCATGTGTCTCCAAGAACGCGTGCATACACGCAACGGCAACAATGTCTCGATCGCTGCCCCGTTTCGGCCCTACGAAAGTCAGCATAGCGAACCGCGAATCCTCAGCCTCCAACGGATTCTGCCAGGCCCCAGGCACGTTCGCAATGCCTGGTACCCACTGGAGAGCCATAGAATTCAGAACCGCACAGTGCCTATAGTGGAGCGTGTCATCGAGGCCCCCACATCGAGAACACCACGCACGGCTCTCGCAGTGAAAGCGGGCGAAGGCGCAAACTCCCTGGGAAAATGCCTGAATGATTCCAATGGAAAGGCGATTGCAAGTAGTCTCTCTCACCACCCCAGCCCAAGATCGAAACACATACATGGTAGAAAACTGGACCACACACCTAGCTACCGCTCAAATCTAGTACGGAAATGTATCACTGACGCCGCCTGCAACCGAAGACCACGCAGGTACGTGTGCACCTTTGCCTGGATATGATTACGATCAAGCCTCAACTGAGAGTATAGTATGTCGGCCGATTCGGAATTAGTGCATCTTGTCATCGAAATTCGTTCCACGAGTCAGTCGTTCGCCTAGGATGGGGCAGTCCTTGTCATCCTAGTGTCCACTGGTCAGCTGCTCACAGTCACACAGGGCCTGGTGCAGGGCTTTGCTCTTGTAGACCACACGGTTTCAAGTAGCTTTATCCACGAGCTCAACGTCGACCAACTCGAGCAAAAAAACCCAGCCCACACAACTGTGTGATCATGCAGTAGATCAGCGCATGCCTAGGGCCAGCTGTGAGGATCTGTAGCGCTTCCCTGTACTGTCTGTCACCCTCGGGTGTTACTCCCACAAGCTGCATCCGATACTGTAGGACTGAGAGACAGCCCGAGTGGAAGAGTCGGATGGCCGTTGACAATCCAAGCGCCAGGGGACACAACTGTCTCACTCTCAATTAAAACTTCATCACGATTGCACGCCTAGCAACCGCATGCGCCGTGGGGCCCATCCAGAACCGATGGTACAGAATAACAGTCCCGAACTTGATGGCCTGAAACACGCTGCCTTTCGCTTTCGTGTGCTCCGAGGGCATATCTCCCACAAAAATCCAACATATCATAACGTAGCATTTACGAAGTCCAAGAAAGCTTGATAACCGGAATCATCGCATCCAAATGTATCAATGTTGACATGAGGTCCACTAACATGTTCTGAAAACCGAGACAGCAATCGTGTGCCCAAGCGAGCTCAAGCTCAAGTCGGGGGTACGCCCATATTTGAGCCACCGTAAGAAAGGATCCAACGCTAGAACGAACAGGGCCATCGAGGCCAAGTCTCCCTGCCCCACATCACTCTCGACAAGGAACCGAATCGCAGTAGCACCAGCGAAATTGAAAACCGCCATATTGCTCCGACACTGACAAGCACAGAAGTCGAGAATAGCCCTCGGGATACCCATCGCATGCGATACTCCGAAAATCCATTCTGAGAAAGCCGACGGGAAAGCGGCACGGAAGTGTGAAAAGGATGCCCCATTGTCGGCTGCAAGATCCCCCATTTTCCGCCTCAGCCAATTTTTCCAAGTACGTTCCATCCCGTTGGCCCCACCCCTGTGTTGATCCAAAACGGATTGCGGGGCGACACCGTTCCAACCGACGCAAAAGGAGTCAAGGAAGATCTTCGCATCAGCGTCACGGGGTGGGGTGTCGCCAAGAGCAGGAAAGGCAAAGGTCGCCGTGCCAGCTTGGCCGCCACCCTTCGAAAGAAACATGTACCGCTGATTATGCAGTCGGGAGGGAGACACTCGCCTTCACTGACGAAAATGGATTCATACAGGGAACCTGGAACAAGTGGAACTTGGAAAATCAGTGAAAATGGAAATGGCCAAGGCTGGAAGCACTGGCAAGGGGTTAGCCGAGCCAGAAACAGTAGGGATGCGGTCGCCAGGGCTGGGAAAAAAGGGGAACAGGCCAGGGCTGGAAAGAATGGAAAGGCTGGCCCCAACCACATTTTCCACCTTCCACGTGCCCAACAAAAGCTAGGCATCCCGTCGGTCCCGGGGCCGAGCACCTCTGGAACCGGATCGCCCGCTCAAACTCCATTTGATCGAAACGCCACCGCGGGACCACAGGGACCTGGTTTACAGTGTGGACATCCCAACACGATGAAAGGAGGAGGAGGAGGAGGAGGAGGAAGAGGAGGAAAAAGAGGAGGAAGAGGACCTCGCCAAAACCAGACCTGTCTCGTCCGTTGCTTGCTGCTGCGCACAGCCCTGCCAAACCGCAACCGCTGGTCGGGAAGATCTGACTGGCAGTAGGCGCGGGTGAGGCAGCGCGCTTGAACGGGCGCGCGTGAACGCCGTGTTTGTACACGAGAACGTTCGCTCGCGTACCTCGGCACCAGAACGCGCAAGTCCCCGCGCGAAGAACGCACGTTCGCAGCTCGACCTGCGCGCACACGGGCAAAGGGCGCGCGCATACGCGGCGCACCTCCGTTCATGCCCCTCGATCATACCGAAAAATCTGCAACCGCGCCTCGAAGCGCGAATTGAAGCGTCCTCAGATCCCGCGAGCCCCCTCCGCGATAATATCGAACGCGAAGAGGCCCGGGCCCTAAACGCACTGATTCTCCAGGGCGCGTCGCGTGCGTTTTGGGCATTCCCGTGCTTCCCCGCGTCTTTCCCGACGGCTAGAGGGCCCGATGACAAACTCAGAAGGCCCAAGGAGCCCCCAAGAGAGCCCGATAGAGCCCCAGCACAGCTCAGGAGCGCCCCGAGACTCCCAAAATGACCTAGAGACGGCCCAAGGGGCCCCCAAGACGCCCCACGAGGGCTCCAAGAGACCCCTAAAAGGCACCCACAAGCAAAAATCACAGATGTGCCGTACGTGTCTGCAAGATTCTAGCGTTCTCGCCGCTTCAGATTTCCGGCGCAGGAGGGCCTCAAAGCGGCGCACGAGGGCCGCAAAAAAGGCCCAAGAGGGCCCCAAGAGGGGCCAAGGTGGGGCAACTCGAACTCACATTTCGAGCCCTCCGCCCCAAGGATGAATGACTCCCGAAACCGTCAGCAGGCCCCAGAGGCCCCCACGATGCATTTTGGGGGCTCTCTCAGAGGCTCCGACGGGTTCCCGCGCCACACGGGCCGCGCGGAAGCCAGCCCACGTCGCCCTGCTGGCAGAACACCCTCACGTGGGCCGTCGCCTCGTCGACCTCCACCGCGACGCGCGCCACCGCGCTGGACTGGCTCCAGCGGCGTCGGGGGCGGCCTCCCCGCCCGCGGGTGCTGCCCGCGCAGAAGGCACACTCGGCGGGAGGGGCCCCGCGCGCGCCTTGCTGAGCCCGCCCCGCCGCCGAGGAGGCCCCCGAGACGCCCGGCAGAATCCAGACCGAGGCCCCCGCGCGGCCCCGGAGAGGCCCCCCTCGCCTCCGAGAGGCGCCCGAGAGGCCCCCCTCGCGAGGGATCTCCACACGGGCACCCCCAAGAGGCAGCCGACCTACGACCGTCGGCACGGCGGCGGGATCGGCGGAAGGCCACTGGGTTGAAGGGGCCCCAGGACACGAATAAATACACACAGATAAAAAGAATCCCCATGTGATTTTCCCATATTTTCTGGGTTTCTGTCTTCCCCCCCACTTCCCATAGTTTCCTATGTGTTCTGGGGAATCGAGGATTAGTTCTGTCTGTGTGTTTCTTTTCCTCCTGATGGATGACGTCCGGCGCCCGCGCGCAGGGGCGCCAAGATCATGCGCCGGCGGCGGGCGCGTGCAGCGGGTGGCCAGAGAGGTTCTCTGCGCCCTCGACTCTCTGCGATGGTTTTCGTGCCTTTGCTCTCTGCTCTGTGCCCGCCTCCTCCTCCTCCTCCTCCTCCTCCTCCTCCTCCTCCTCCTCCTCCTCCTCCTCCTCCTCCTCCTCCTCCTCCCGCCAAGATGGGCCCGACAACGTTGCCGGGGGGGAACCAGGGGTCGAGGTCGCGGAGCGCCAGGATCCAGATCGCGAGGCCCGCGGCGTTTGCCCCGACCTTCGCGCAATGGTTCAGGGCCCTCCGGACCTGCGAACTCCATGAACTGGTTGCCCTCCATCCTCTACTTTCCAATCTGTACTAACCACCCTCTGCTGTATACTGATGCGCCCCCACTCGGGGCTCTCTGTCATGCGTTTTCTGCTCCCCGCGCTGCGCTACATGAGCTCGCCGCCTATCATATAATGTATGATAGTTTCCGCCACGGTCACCGTGTCTCGAGGCACGAAGTGGAGTTATTCCCAGACTCTCATGTGTTTTCTGTTCTATGTACTCAAGAGTCTGGGGTTGTTAGTAATCTAAGGGCTGGGCCCCCAAATTCTCAAATTTCCCAGCGTGTTCCCGCGCGTTCTTGGGCTGCCCCGCGTGACTTTCCCGGAGGCGAGAGGACCCCAAGACGGGCCAAGAGGACCCCAGAAAGCGCCCAAGAGGGTCCAAGAGGCCTCCAAGACAGCCCAAGAGCGCTCCAATGGCCCCGAGACGGTCCAAGAGGCCCCAAAAGCGCTCCACCGTGTGTTACTATGTGGTTCACGTTCTCGCTCCAAGGAGGCCCCAGAGGACGCCAAGACCGCCCCAAGACCACCCAAGAAGTCCCCAAGATGGCCCCAAGAGGGCCCCAAAACGATCTAATTGGACCCCAAAATGGCCCAAGAGGCGCCCAAGATCGCCCAAGAGGGCTCCAAGACGGCCCGAAGAATGGGCCGTATGTCACTACATAGAATGCTCTTTACTCTACGTAGCATCCCGCAGTCGCGGATAAGAATGAGGGGGCGGCGGGGACGGCGGCAGTCTGCGAGGCTCTGAAGAAGCCCGCCGCAGACACTTAACGAGACCGCCGCAGGCGCTGATTTTTTCGCTTGATAAAGGGAGAAAATACGGCATACACATAAAATGTTGGCGCTCTGCGCGGATTTCTTGGATCTGCGCTGGACCTCCTCCTTGGCGCGCGGAGCGCGCCAGGGGCGGCGCCAGAGGCGCCGCCAGGGGGGCTCAGCGCGGATCCAAGAAATCCGCGCGGAGCGGCAAAAGTTTACGTCTATGCAGTGTCGTCTTCGATTTGAAGCAATGTGGGTCGCAGAAGTGGGTCGCGGAAGGGTCGCGGGTGGGTGGCGGGCCCAGTCGCGGGTGGGTCGCGGGTGGGTCGAGGGTGGGTCGCGGATGGGTCGCAGGTGGGTTGCGGGTGGGTCGCGGGTGGGTCGCGGGTGGGTCGCGGGTGGGTCGCGGGCGGGTCGCGGGGTGGGTCGCGGGTGGGTCGCGGGCGGTCTTGGGTGGGTCGCGGGCCGGGTCGCGGGTGGGTCGCGTGCGGGGTCGCGTGCCGGGTCGCGGGTAGGACGACGACAACAAGCAAGAAACAACAACAACAACAACAACAACAACAACAACACACAACAACAACAACAACACAACAACAACAACAACAACAACAACAACAACAACAACAACAACAACATCAACAACAACTCAACAACAACAACAACAAAAACAACAACAACAACAACAACATTTACTAGCACGTGGGGACACTCCGTTCTCACCAGTGCCAGGGTTTTCATAGGAGGCGGGCAATACCCCCACTTTGTGGGGGGGCCGGTTCAAGCTCTACCACATTTCCAAACGACTCTTCGCCACCACCCACACCCAGCTTCCCGCCCTATGACGTTCGGACACCTCACTTCGTGGCCTGCGGACGACCTTGGCTACTACACTGGCGCATGGGTACAATGACTTGTTGTGGTAACATTTTCTGTAAGCTAGCTTAGTATACGACTTTTCCCCCTGCAATTGAAGATTTCGGCGTGCGCGCGCGAAGAAAAAACGAATGTGTCCCATATGGTATTATTTGACATGGATGATGGCCCTGGCAGGCGCGCAACCGTTGTTGCAGAGGTTCGAAGCACGTGAAAAAGTTGCTCGCAAGAGCCCGTTTGACAGAAATGTTGAAAAAGTATTGGGCTTCCTAAGAAATCCGCAAGAGCGCGCGGGATGATTTTTTGAAACTTTTTGTTTGAAAAACCATTGGGTTTTTTCACGTTTTTATGTTAAAATCGCTACGAAAACTGAAGTTTTGGAAGGATTTCATCTTGCGCGCGCGAGTGTGCACTTCGTGTCATTGTTTGCAAAGGATTCTTGAAGTTTGGTTATGTTAGAACAAGACATGTCATTTTATATTGTTTTTTGACAGGGAAAGCGGGCGTCAACAAAACAACC